AATAGTACATTTGGGGCATTACATTGATAACTGGGGCTTCTGTAAGTATGAGTGTAGATTACCAGCGATGGCTTCTATTTTTTTTTTTTTTTTTTTGAGACGGAGTCTCGCTGTGTCTCCCAGGCTGGAGTGCAGTGGCGTGATCTCGGCTCACTGCAAGCTCCGCCTCCCGGGTTCACGCCATTCTCCCGCCTCAGCCTCCCAAGTAGCTGAGACTACAGGCGCCCGCCACCACGCCCGGCTAGTTTTTTGTATTTTTAGTAGAGACGGGGTTTCACCATGTTAGCCAGGATAGTCTCGATCTCCTGACCTCGTGATCCACCCGCCTCGGCCTCCCAAAGTGCTGGGATTACAGGCTTGAGCCACCGCGCCCGGCCCGATGGCTTCTATTAAAGGATAATTAAGGAGGCATTGCAAAATAAGCTATAAAAAAGGAAATGTTGGGGCTAGTGAGAGCCAATGGAGGGCATTAGTAAAAGGATGCTGAGTACATCTAAGCCCTCCTTGAATCACAGGAAAATGAAACAGTTGTTTTCTACTTAATTGTTTTCTGTATCCCCATCTTTACCCTAGGACTTACTGTGATAATTTTTTTTCGAGACAGTCTCACTCTGTTGCCCAGACTGGAGCGCAGTGGCAGGATCTCAGCTCACTGCACTCTCCACCTCCTGGGTTCAAGTGATTATCATGCCTCAGCCTCCTGGGTAGCTGGGATTACAGGTGCCCACCATCACGGCGGCTAATTTTTGTATTTTTAGTAGACGGGGTTTTGTCACGTTGGCCAGGCCGGTCTCAAACTCCTGACCTCAGGTGTTCCGTCTACCTCGGCCTCCCAAAGTGCTGAGATTACAGGTGTGAGCCACTGCACCCGGCCTATTGTGACATATTTTGATATTTCTTTTTTTTTTTCGTGACTGTCTCACTCTGTCACCCAGGCACAATTTCAGCTCACCTCCACCTCCACTTCCTGGGTTCAAGCAATTCTTGTGCCTCAGCCTCCCAAGTAACTAGGACTACAGGCGTGTACCACGACACCTGGCTAATTTTTTATAATTTTAGTAGGGATGGGGTTTCACCATGTTGGCTAGGCTTGTCTTGAACTCCTGACCTCAGGTGATCCACCCGCCTCGGCCTCTCAAAATGCTGGGATTACAGGTGTTAGTCACTGCGCCCGGCCTATTGTGATATTTCTTTACTTAATAACTAGCCAATGAATCTCTTAATAGCATTCTGTTTTCCTCTAAGCATGCATAAAAAACGGTCAAGTAAGTCCATGATAAGTCATTACCTTTTCCCTGCAAGGAGTGTACTATAGATTACCAAACCTGCAGAGCCAGTCTGTATGGAGACAGGAGGACTAACCAGGCTTGCTCTGCTTCACACCCAGAGACTTGGAGTCATAGCACACGGAAATTGCTTTAATGACCTTTTATACCCCCTGCTGATAAAGCAATTAGAAAACTGAAGAGTTTCATAGTGGTAAGATATAATTTAACAATACTGAATTAGATATTAGAAATGGACTCTCCATATGTCCCTATGGTCTACAAGCTTAATGTGGATCTTTAAACCAACAAATAAAACAATTCATTAACTGGAGAAACAAGTTTGTGGCCATAATCAGCACTCTGTAATGTCCCATCTTCACCACTATCTGTGCTTAAAATTCTGCAGTGCTATCTTCAGAATAAGGATAATGATTTGCAAATACGACCATTTCTTTTCATTGCCCTTGACAATTACCTTTTTAAAAAAAAGAAAAGTAGGGTCTTACTCTATCATCCAGGCTGGAGTGTGGTGGCATGATCAGAGCTCACTGCAGCCTTCAACTCCTGGGCTCAAGCGATCCTCTTACCTCAGCCTGAGTAGCTAGGACTATGCCTGGCTAACTTAAAATTTTTTTTGTAGAGAGAGAGTCTTGCTATGTTGCCTAAGCTGACAATTACTTTATTAAAAAAGTTTTTTTTCTGGGCCAGGGGCAGTGGCTTACGCCTGTAATCTCAGCACTTTAGGAGGCTGAGGCGGGTGGATCACCTGAGGTCAGGAGTTTGAGACTAGCCTGGCCAATGTAACAAAACGCTGTCCTTACTAAAAATACAAAAATTAGCCGGGCATGGTGGTGCATGCCTGTAATCCCAGCTACTTGGGAGGCTGAAATAGGAGAATTGCTTGAACCTGGGAGGTGGAGGTTGCAGTGAGCTGAGAGTGCACCACTGCACTCCAGACTAGGTGACAGAGTGAGACTCTGTCTCAAAAAAACAAAACTTTTTTTTTTTGAGATACGGAGCCTTGCTCTGTTGCCCAGGCTGGAGTGCAGTGACACGCTCTCAGCTCACTGCAACCTCTGCCTCCCAAGTAGCTGGGGTTTCACCATATTGGCCAGGTTGGTCTCGAACTCCTGACCTCAGATGATTTGCCCACATCAGCCTCCAAAGTGCTGGGATTAAAGGTGTGAGCCACTGTGGTGCCTGGCCTTTTTTTTTTTTGAGATGGAGTGTCACTCTGTCGCCAGGCTGGAGTGCAGTGGCATAATCTCGGCTCACTGCAAGCTCCACCTCCTGGTTCAAGGGACTCTCCTGCCTCAGCCTCCCGAGTAGCTGGGACTACAGGCTCCTGCCACCAAGCCTGGCTAATTTCTTGTACTTTTAGTAGAGACGGGTTTCACTGTGTTAGCCAGAATGGTCTCGATCTCCTGACTTCGTGATCCACCCACCTCGGCCTCCCAAAGTTCTGGGCTTACAAGCGTGAGCCACAGTGCCAGGCCCGGACTTTCTTTTTTTTTTTTTAACTGTTCCATATGGGGCAGGGCTAAATGTTAGGTGTGCGCCCATAGTCACCGCCAATTACTTTTTTTTTTTTTTTTGTGAGATGGAGCCTCGCTCTATCACCCAGGCTGGAGTGCAGTGGTGCAATCTCAGCTCACTGCAAGCTCCGCCTCCCGGGTTCACACCATCCTCCTGCCTCAGCCTCTCGAGTAGCTGGGACTACAGGCGACCGCCACCATGCCAGGCTAATTTTTTTGTATGTTTAGTAGAGATGGGGTTTCACTGTGTTAGCCAGGATGGTCTCTATCTCCTGACCTCGTGATCCACCCGCCTCGGCCTCCCAAAGTGTTGGGATTACAGGTGTGAGCCACCGCGCCTGGCCAATCACTGCCAATTACTTTTGAACAGAGAACATAATATGTAATTAGAGGAGGTGGGATATTGTTGATGCAGCTACATCATTGCAAATTGGCAGAAGTCCTGAAGCTGGTGGGGCTAAAAAAAAAAAAAATTGGTGGAAGGGCATATGTTGAGACCTGGAATAGCTTTTCTGGAAGATGCTCTAAGGTGGGGGTAGAGTAGTACATAGGTAGTCAAATGATGAGGCTGAGGGAGTCTACCAATAACAATGCCACAGAGCTTCCTTGGCACACTTCCCGCTGCTGCTATGTGGGCTTCTGTTTGGCTCGCTTAGGATTTTGCCGTTCTCCAGGTGGTGAGGCCTTCCTTGCCGAGATGCTCCGGAGGGAATGCAAGCTCTGCATCTGCTGCAGGCGCAGGGCGAGCTCCCGCTCACAGGCCTCTTGAACAGTCTCCGTCTTCCTTATGTCCCAGTTCAAAGCAACAGCCAGTGCTTTGGGGTCTTCCCTGGTAACCAACTGTAGCAAGAATAAGAACTCCTGAGAACTGGGCCTTCTGTGCGCCTCTCCTGCTGCTCTCCTGACTCTCTTTTGGGGAGTGCGATGAGGCAGTACCTGTTTATGTTACCTCTTCACACTGAAATGCCGGGTTTCCTTTACCATCAATTGCCATGAGCTTTTTTTTTTTTTTTTTGACAGAGTCTCGCTCTGTTGCCCAGGCTGGAGTAGAGTGGTGCGATTTCCGCTCACTGCAAGCTCCGCCTTCCTGGTTCATGCCATTCTCCTGCCTCAGCCTCCCAAGTAGCTGGGACTACAGGCACTGGCCACCATGCCCGGCTAATTTTTTTGTATTTTTTTTTAGTAGAGATGGGGGTCTCACTATGTTCGCCAGGATGGTCTCGATCTCCTGACCTCATGATCTACCCGTCTCGGCCTCCCAAAGTGTTGGGATTACAGGCGTGAGCCACGGCGCCTGGCCGTCATGGGCTTTTTTAAGATGAGTTTTCACTCTTGTCGCCCAGGCTGGAGTACAGTGGTGCGATCTTGGCTTACTGCAGTCTCTGCCTCCTGGGTTCAAGTGATTCTCTTGCCCCAGCTCCCGCCACCACGCCAGGCTAATATTTGTATTTTTAGTAAAGATGGGGTTTCACCATGTTGGTCAGGCTGGTCTCGAACTCCTGACCTCAGGTGATCCACCTGCCTCGGCCTCCTAAAGTGCTGGCATTAACAGGCGTGAGCCACTGTGCCTGGCCAAGCATGGGCCTTTACTTACAACACCAACAGGAAGCAGTCCTTGGAAAGTTTACTTGGAGCAACTCTAAGGTCCTCCACCTTCAGGAAATTTAACCGAGCTCAAGTCAACAGTCTCCTTCCCTTCTATCTACAATAGGGAGGTACTTGTGACAGGGACAAGGACAAAGAATCAGAAGTAGCACCCACCCTGGCGGGTCCCCTTCCTCAAGCTTTTAGTTCCCTGTTCTTAGCCAGCAGGCGACGATCCCTCAAGTTTGCCTTTTCCTGTGACATTGACAGACCTCAGGATGGACTATAGATCTTCTTTAACCATGGAAAGAACCAGAAGCCATCTCAGAAGATTGGGCCCCGCTATTCCTCCCTGTCAGGAACAGTCATTTCATTACCAACCTGGGACCAGAGTCTGTCGGATGATCTGAAAAGTGTATGCATTTTTCTTTAAAGCTACTTTGATTTAGACTAATGAGATTTTTGCAAATGCTGGGGCATAGAATAGGCAAATTGGCAGCTAGGATTCACAGTCCGCAGAGGTGAACAAAAGGGTCCACACGTCTCTGCACGGTAATACTACATCCCAGGGCATGTCCTTCCCTGTAGCTCAGTGACCCTGGTTTCCGCCCACCTCCAAATCCTGACTAGATAAGCTCAGCTCTGGAGCCGGCTTCTCTCTCAGTGCAGTAAGGATGTGGCTCGCCAGCGTGACGTCCGAGGAGGCCTCTCTGCTGATGCCCGTGTCTACTGCATCTGCCTCCTCACCCAGGGCAGCTTTGGACTCTGCAAAGGAGACACGAGACAGAGGTCAGATGTGCTGTGACCAAACAGCCACATGACCAACTCGCCACAATAATTGGCTGGGCAAGAGAGAAACGTGCCCTTCCCGCATCCTAGCAGCTGTGGCTTCAGTGGCTCTGGCTGCATCACAAATAGTGTCCTCCCGAGGGACGCCTCCATCAGCCCTGAATTCTCAGAGTAACTCTGCCTGCAGAGAGTCCTACCTTCCTGCTTTGACAAGAGGCTGCCCTCTTTCTCCAAAGCCTCGAGGTACAGCTGCAGGAGCTGCTTGGACTGACGCACTTCCTCTCTTTGGTCAAGCACTTGTTGGAGTGTGTGCTGCAGCTGCTGGACAGTGGCACAACTCTGGAGTAGTTCCTGAGCCAGGTCTGCGCAGGGAGCGTCAACAAGCATCTAAAAAACAAACAGACGCTGAGAAATCTACAAGGACTTTCTTGTTTTTGAGATGAGTCTGCTCTGTTGCCCAGGCTGGAGGGAGATGGCGCGATCTTGGCTCACTGCAACCTCCGCCTCCCAGGTTCAAGCAATTTTCCTGCCTCAGCCTTCCTAGTAGCTGGGATTACAGGTGTGTGTCACCTAGCCCAGCTATTTTTTGTATTTTTAGTGAAGTCGGGGTTTTGCCATATTGGCCAGGCTGGTCTCAAACTCCTGACCTCAGGTGATCTACCCACCTTGGCCTCCCAAAGTGCTAGGATTACAGGTGTGAGCCACCGTGCCCGGCCTACAAGGACTTTCTAAACATGGTGTTCTACCTCTCAAATACATCCATTTCAGAACTCACTGAATCCATTTCCCAAAGTTACTTACTATGATGGTTGGCTGAGAGTCAAGAGAAAAGCATGTGATTTTTCCAGTTTTCTTCTAGTGTTAAAATTGGGAAGAAGGGTCGGGTGTAGTGGCTTACACCTATAATCCCAGCACTCTGGGAGGCTGAGGCAGGAGGATTGCTTGAGCCCAGGAGTTTAAGACCAGCCTGGGCAACACGTTGAAACCCTGCCTTTACGAAAAATATAAAAATTAGCCGGGCATGGTAGAGTACGCCTGTGGTCCCAGCTACTTGGGAGGCTGAGGTGGGAGGATTGCTTGAGCCCAGCAGGCAGAGGTTGCAGTGAGCCGAGATCACACTACTGCACTCCGGCCTGGATAACAGAGCTAGACCCTGTCTCAAACCAAACCAAACCAAACCAAAACACCACCAAGAAATCACTTCCTCAAAGAGGACTTCCTCCATGTTCCAATCTAGAGTAGCCCCCATCACTCTCCGCATCCCACCGTCTGATATGCTTTCCTGTTGTTTTCTGCCTCCCTTCATCAGAATACAAGCACCATTAGAGCAGAGACTACGTCTGGCTTGTTCGCCGCTGCACGCCCAGTGAAGGAACCATGACAGGCACAGGATGGGGCTCAATCAACATTTTCGGGGCCAAGCGCAGAGGCTCATGTCAATAATCCCAGCACTTTGGGAGGCCACGGTGGGAGGATTGCCTGAGCCCAGGAGTTCAAGACCAGCCTAGGCAACATGTGAAGACCTCATCTCTATAAAAAATTAATTAATTTTTTTGAGATGGAGTCTTGCTCTGTCACCAGGCTGGAGTGCAATGATGTGATCTCAGCTCACTGCAACCTCCGCCTCTGGGTTCAAACAATTCTCTTGCCTCAGCCTCCCGCGTCGCTGGGACTACAGGCACACGCCATCACGCCCAGCTAAGTTTTGTATTTTTTTGTTTTTTGAGACGGAGTCTTGCTCTGCCTCCCAGGCTAAAATGCAGTGGTGTGATCTCTGCTCACTGCTACCTCCGCCTCCCAGGTCAAGTGATTCTCCTGCCTCAGCCTCCTGAGTAGCTGGGATTACAGGTGCTCACCACCACGCCTGGCTAATTTTTATATTTTTAGTAGAGACTGGGTTTCACCATCTTGGCCAGGTTGCTCTTGAACTCCTGACCTTATGATCCACCCACCTCGGCCTCCCAAAGTGCTGGGATTACAGGTGTGAGCCACTGCGTCTGGCTCTATTTTTAGTAAAGACAGGGTTTCACCATGTTTGCCAGGATGGTCTTGATCCTTTGGCACCATGTTTGCCAGGATGATCTTGATCTTTTGGTGTCGTGATCTGCCCACCTCAGCCTCCTAAAGTTCTGGGATTATAGGTGTGAGCCACCGTGCCGGGCCTTACTATTTTTTTTTTTTGAGAGTCTTGCTCTGTTGCCCAGGTTGGTGTGGTATAGTCATGGCTCACTGAAGCCTTGACCACCTGGGCTCAAGTGATCCTCCCACCTCAGTTTCCTGAGTAGCTGGAACTATAGGCACACGCCACCACACCCAGCTAATTTTTGTAGAGATAGGCTTTTACCACATCCAACTCCTGAACTCAGGCAATCTGCTCACCTTGGCCTCCCAAAGTGCTAGGATTACAGGTATGAGCCACTGCACCTGGCCTACAAAAATTAAAACAAAAAACAGCCCAGTTTGGTGGTTGAAGCCTACAGTCTCAGCTACCTGAGAGGCTGAGGTGGGAGGATGGCTTGAGGCCACGAGGTCAAGGATGCAGTGAGCTATGATCATGCCACTGCACTGGGTGACAGAGCAAGACCCTGTCTCAAAGAGAAATTTTCTTTGAATGAAAACATACTTTTTTTATCCCAATCTTTTTTTTTTTTTGAGACGGAGTCTCGCTCTGTCACCTGGGCTGGGGTGCAGTGGCGCAATCTCAGCTCACTGCAAGCTCCGCCTCTCGGGTTCACACCATTCTCCTGCCTCAGCCTCCCGAGTAGCTGGGACTACAGGCGCCCACCACCACGCCCGGCTAATTTTTTGTATTTTTAGTAGAGACGGGGTTTCACCGTGTTGGCCACCATGGTCTTGATCTCCTGACCTCGTGATCCGCCCACCTCAGCCTCCCAAAGTGCTGGGATTACAGGTGTGAGCCACCGCGCCCGGCCTATCCCAGTCTTACTAGGGAGAAAACACAAGGAGAGAAGCTAAGCTGCCGGCTCAAAGTCGTGGTGATAGCGCTGGGATGTGAAGCCAGCTACTACTACATTCTCTTTTTTTTTTTTTTTTTTTTTTTTTTTTTTTTGAGACGGAGTCTCGCTCTGTCGCCCAGGCCGGAGTGCAGTGGCCAGATCTCAGCTCACTGCAAGCTCCGCCTCCCGGGTTCACGCCATTCTCCTGCCTCAGCCTCCCAAGTAGCTGGGACTACAGGCGCCCGCCACCTCTCCCGGCTAGTTTTTTGTACTTTTCAGTAGAGACGGGGTTTCACCGTATTAACCAGGATGGTCTCAATCTCCTGACCTCGTGATTCGCCCGTCTCGGCCTCCCAAAGTGCTGGGATTACAGGCTTGAGCCACCGCGCCCGGCCAATGCTACATTCTCTAGCAGGGCATCCCTGACCCCAGGGTCCACCTAACTAGGTTTAGGGTGGATCCCAGGCATTTGCATTAAAAAAAAAAATTTTGGCCAGGCATGGTGGCTCACGCCAGTAATCCCAGCAGTTTGGGAGGCTGAGGCAGGTGGATCACTTGAGATGAGGAGTTGAAGACCAGCCTGGCCAACATGATAAAACCCCATCTCTACTAAAAATACCAAAATTAGCTGGGCGTGTTGGTGTGCACCTGTAATTCCAGCTACCCGGGATGATGAGGCAGGAGAATCACTTGAACCCGGGAGGTGGAGGTTGCAGTGAGCTGAGATCGCACCACTGCACTCCAGCCTGGACGACAGAGTAAGACCGTGTCTCAAAAAAAAAAAAGAAAAAAAATCCGCAGGTAATTCTGCTTCAAGATGAGGGTTGAAAAATCACTCTAGGTGAGAAAGAAAAGATGAAAAATCTTAGTTGTCATTTAAGAATTATTTAAAAATTAAGATTAAAACAAAGAAATTGTTATGGCAAGTATGGAAGCTAAGAAGGTGCTGGGCGGGGGGCAGAGGCCAGATGAGCATTGCGGCAGATTGTGGAGGAGGCTTACCTGGAGGTCTTCCTCTGAGAGGAGGATGATGCTGGACAGATCTTCTTTCAGCTGCCTGGCCACATTCTTCCACTTCAACCCTGCTCCCCTGTCTGTTTCATCTACATCAAAGGACTCTTGGGAAATCCAAGCTGTACCTCCATCTGACACATGGGAGAAAATGCCAGTCACAGAACAACCTGAAGTGCTGTTTTCACCTCCTCTCCAAGCACACACAGACCTCTTGAGGATCTAGATTAATTTCAATGGGAAAGAAGCATCTTATCTCAAGGATTCACAGGAGGGCCAATCTCCATCTAGGACCTTGATTTTCCCTCTTCTTTCATCTTTTTTTTTTTTTTTTTTTTTTTTTTTGAGACAGTCTCACTCTGTTGCCCAGGCTGGAGTGCAGTGGCACGATCTTGGCTCACTGCAACCTCCACCTCCCAGGTTCAAGCGATTCTCCTGCCTCAGCCTTCCAAGTAGCTGGGATTACAGGTGCCCACCACCATGCCCAGCTAATTCTGGTATTTTTAGTAGAGACGGAGTTTCTCCATGTTGGCCATGCTGGTCTCAAACTCCTGACTTCAAGTGATTCTCCTGCTTCGGTCTCCCAAAGTGCTGAGATTACAGGTGTGAGCCACCGTGCCTGACTCTCTTTCATCTTTATTTCTGTGTGCAATGGCTCTGTATTCTTCCATAGAAAGAAGCCATTTAAACCCAATGTATGGTCACACATACACAGAATCCCATCACACTTCTCCTTTTGGTTTCTGTGCGTCCAGGTGTATCCTGTTTTTGTAAATAAAAACAGTCATTTTTGCCAGCATTTCTCTGGTGCTTGGTCCCTTCTTTTTTGGGGGGACAGAGTTTCACTCCTGTTGCCCAGGCTGGAGTGCAATGGCGCGATCTCGGCTCACCACAACCTCCGCCTACTGGGTTCAAGCGATTCTCCTGCTTCAGCCTCCCGAGTAGCTGAGATTACAGGCATGTGCCACCACGCCTGGCTAATTTTGTATTTTTAGTAGAGATGGGGTTTCTCCATGTTGGTCAGGCTGGTCTTGAACTCCTGACCTAAGGTGATCCGCCCGCCTCGGCCTCCCAAAGTGCTGGGATTATAGGCGTGAGCCACCGCACCTGCCCCCCTTTTTTTTTTTGAGACGGAGTCTCACTCTGTCGCCCAGACTGGAGTGCAGTGGTGTGATCTTGGCTCACTGCAAGCTCCACCTCCCGGGTTCACACCATTCTCCTGCCTCAGCCTCCCGAGTAGCTGGGACTACAGGTGCCTGCCACCATGCCCGGCTAATTTTTTATATGTTTTAGTAGAGATGGGGTTTCACTGTGTTAGCCAGGATGGTCTCGATCTCCTGACCTCGTGATCCGCCCATCTTGGCCTCCCAAAGTGCTAGGATTACAGGCCTGAGCCACCGCACCCAGCCTGGTCCCTTCTTTAACTGGGGGAGCTGTAGCCATCAATTGCTGTCCCTTAGGCATGAGTACAAAGGTGGCTGGTAGGGCCACTGCTGTAGGATACTTTCCTCAATTTTGTGGCACACTTCAAGACACTTTTTTTTAAGTCCCTCCCTAAAAGTAATCCCCTCTCAAGACACTTCTTGATCCTTGGTCACCAATGTTAGTCCCCTTTATATCTCCTGTGATGATGATGATGACAGTGACAGGTAACATTTATTGAGTCCTTAACTATGCGCCAGGTAAGATCTAAACGTTTCATATCAGTGGTTCTCAAGTGGGAGCGATTTTGCCCCCCAGGAGACATCTGACAATATCTGGAGTTATTTATTCTTGGTTATCATAGTTGTAGGGGGAAGTTCCTAATATCTAGGATGCTGCTAAACATCCTACAATACAAAAAGCATCCTCTCCACAACTCCAGCCCCAAATGTCAACAGTATCATTGAGAAACCCTGGTTTGATATGTACTATATTTTCTTTACAACAATCTTAGGGGACAGGTTCTATAATTATGATGTCAACAAGGCACTGAGAGGTTATGTAATTTGCACAAGGTCACCTGGCTAGTAAATGGTAGAGCCAGGATCCAGACCTAAACAGCCGGACTGCAGCCTGCAGCACTGAGCTCCCTGCCAGGCTGCATTTTAGTTGCTGTCTGTCCATGACTTAGTTGAGAACTGGGCCCATGTCTCATTCATCTATTTTTTTTTTTTTTTTGAGACACAGTCTCGCTCTGTCGCCCAGGATGGAGTGCAGCGGCACCACCTCAGCTCACTGCAACCTCCACCTCCCAGGTTCAAGCAATTCTCCCGCCTCAGCCTCCCAAGTAGCTGGGATTACAGGTGCCTGCCACCATGCTCAGCTAGTTTTTGTATTTTCAGTAGAGATGGGCTTTCGCCATGTTGGCCAGGCTGGTCTCAAACTTCTGACCTCAGGTGACCTGCCCACCATGCCTGGCCTCATTCATCTTTATCTCCAGGACTCAGCACCATGGCTGGCACATAGAAAATGCTCAGTAAATGTTTGTTGAACAAATGCTTAAAAAGCCAGACAAATGGCAACTGTCTGTGCAGTGAAAGTAATCATGACGGATGCTGTACTGCATAGGCCGTTTTCGATATGGCTAGAGTTTCTCACCTGAATTGTTGTAGGCCCATTTCTCATTATTGGCCAACGCCACAAACTTAGTATTGGAAGGTAGACACAGAAAGTAATCGTCATCATCCACTATGGTGCCATCCTCTGCCAGGACCAGGGTGACTGGTGTCAGGGACTTATCAATGGCCAGAATGTCACAGGCTGAAAAGAATAAAATATTTGGCAAATGACAAATAACCATAAGTAAAGTATATCTGTCCCTGCACCTCAAGTAGGTATGGCTCCAGAGCTGAGCAGAACTCCTGGTAGGTAACAACTAGAATAACAATCATCACTTCTAGCACTAATAGAACACTCATCACGTGCCTGATTCTGTTCTAAGTGTTCTTTTCTTTTCTTTCTTTCTTTTTTTTTTTTTTGGTAGCAGGGTCTCACTCTGTTAACCAGGCTGGAGTGCAGTGGTATGATCTCGGCTCACTGCAACCTCTGCCTCCCAGGTTCAAGTGATTCTCCTGTCTCAGCCTCCCGAGTAGCTGGGATTATAGGTGTGCACCACCATGTCCAGCTAATTTTTGTATTTTTAGTAGAGACGTGGTTTCACCATGTTGACCAGGCTGGTCTCAAACTCCTGACCTTGTGATCCGCCTGCCTTGGCCTCCCAAAGTGCTGGGATTAGAGGCGTGAGCCATGCGCCCAGCCCTAAGTGCTTTTCTTTTTTTTTTTTTTTTGAGACGTAGTCTCACTCTGTCGCCCAGGCTGGAGTGCAGTGGTACAATCTTGGCTCACTGCAACCTCCGCCTCCCGGGTTCAAGCAATTCTCTGCCTTAGTCTCCCGAGTAGCTGGGATTACAGGCGCTGGCCACCGTGCCCGGCTAATTTTTGTATTTTTAGTAGAGACAGGGTTTCACCATCTTGGCCAGCCTGGTCTGGAACTCCTGACCTAATGATCTAGCTGCCTCGGCCTCCCAAAGTGCTGGGATTACAGGCGTGAGCCACCATGTCTGGCCTAAGTGCTTTTCATATACAGTATTTAATCTCATAATAATCCTGTAAAGTAGGTACTATTATTAGTTCTGTTTTATAGATGATGAACCCAAGGCTCAGAGAGGTTAAGTAACTGGTCCAGGATCACGCCGGAATTGGCAAAGCTGGGACTTAAACCCACAAAGTCTGGCTCCTGAAAGTAGCTCCAGCTACTCTGCACTCATGTGTGGTACGCATTTGAGTTTTTACTGGAATGAACAACCAAAGTCTGGTCTGATTCCCTGCGAACAAGCAGTCTCTCATTCATTTATTCAGTTGTCCTCTTTTTTTTTTTTTTATTATTGAGATGGAGTCTCACTCTGTTGCCCAGGCTGGAGTGCAGTGGTGTATCTTGGCTCACTGCAAGCTCCGCCTCCTGGGTTCACATCTTTCTCCTGCCTCAGCCTCTTGAGTAGCTGGGATTTCAGGCGCCCATCACCACGACCGGCAAATTTTTTTGTGTTTTTAGTAGAGACGTGGTTTCTTCATGTTAGCCAGGATGGTCTCAATTTCCTGACTTCGTGATCCGCCCGCCTCAGCCTCCTGAAGTGCTGGGATTCCAGGCGTGAGCCATCACGCCCGGCCCTCAGTTGTCCTCTTAAATTCTACGTGACGAATGTCAAAAAATACACCAAAAACACCAGGCGCGGTGGCTCATGCCTGTAATCCCAGCACTTTGGGAGGCCGAGGTGGGCAGATCACGAGGTCAGGAAATCAAGACCATCCTGGCTAACACGGTGAAACCCCGTCTCTACTAAGAAAGTACAAAAAATTAGCCGGGCGTGGTGGTAGGCGCCTGTAGTCCCAGTTACTCCAGAGGCTGAGCAGGAGAATGGCGTGAACCCGGGAGGCGGAGCTTGCAGTGAGCTGAGATCCCGCCACTGCCCTCCAGCCTGAGCGACAGAGCGAGACTCCGTCTCAAAAAAAAAAAAAAAAAAAAAAAAGAAAATGCTTTTTGTTCTTCACAATATCTTCCTTAGCAGCTTCTTTTTTAACCTATGGGAAAGTATAAAAGAAGTGGAAGCTTCTATCAGTAGCTTTTCATATTATCATTGGCCGAGAGGTTTTCTCCAGGACAGGTCTGTGCTATCCCATTTAGTGATAGCAATGCTTCAAATACTAACGAGACTGGAGTGGGCAGAAATAACCAAGAGACTACAAATATCCTTCAGCGGTGTTGTCTGCCACCCAATAGAACAGCAAGGCAGGTATGGGCTGGGCTGCAGAGAACACGAGCCTCTGTGCCACGCACATCCAGCCAAGGCACTGAAGGGGAATTAGAAGTAATCTAATGTCAGGAAAAACATACATAAATGCTTATATGCAAAATCCATGTCACCAAAGCACTTATAATGCATTCGCTGTTCACGGGCCTCTGAAAATTTCCATATGATCTCTGTTGGTGACTGAGAGTAAGCAACTGTCCCCTCTGACACACACTGTGACTACATGCCTGGGGCTGGCTCACACATTTAACCTGTCAAACTTCTTTAGGTAAGCAATTTGTTGCTACCGGCTAATAAGACTTGCGAGTCACTTAAATATATCAGCTTATTTGAGAGAAGCAACAATCCTTTGAAGCAGGGCTGTAAATATTATACCCAGTTTGCTGATGAGAAAACTGAGGGTTGAGAGACGGTTAACTGCAAGGCCAAGCAGCTGGTAAAGGTATGGGGCCGGGCTCGGAACTTCCGTCGGCTCCGTCACTTACAACTCACGTTCCTTGTCTGGACCTCCAGAAATGGTCAGTAGCAGCTCCCTCTTTCCCGCATAGGTTCCTGCCAGAGCGGAAGGTGGAAACCCCTCCCCACCCCGCCGTGGGCTCAGCTGGGGGTTCTTGTACCACCCGAGTGTGCCGGAGTGGCAGGAACCCAATGGGCTCCTCTTGGTCCAACAACTAAGTGATTTCAGGCAAGAGACCTAAGCCGAGTTTGGCTTAATGTGCACTTTGCTTCCTGGCTCTCTTCCCACCACTGTGGAGTCTCACACGAGATTAATTACGCTCAAGCGCCTGAAATCTGTAAATCGCTAAGCCTACCTGGACCATTTCTGTTCCAAGGCTCCACCCGAGCTACAGGAATCCCCAAGTCGCCTCTCCTGACCCCGCCTCGCCCCCGCCGGACGTCCTCTCCCGGCCCCGGCTCCCCCACCCCCTCGCCCGGGGTCCCGAGCCAACCCTTGCTCCTCAGGTCTTCGAGGCAGGAGGCGGCCACGCCGTGCTGTTCGCGGCTGTGGTTGCGGCGCAGCAGACACGGCTTTAGAGTCCGGATCTCGCCAGATTCTGGTACCCCGGCGTCCCCGGTCACTTCCATCCTCTCCAAAGTGGGACCTGCCCGGCTTCCAGAAGCCGCGGGAGGCGGGAGCGGCGGCCCTCCTACTCGACCCCCTTCCGCAGCCTGCCGGGAGATGTAGTTTGCTCCGCAGGAAATCACACGTGAGACCAGGGCACGCCGGAAGATGTAGTTCTAGTTGCCGCTAATCACATGTGGCGTCGAGGCATGCCGGAAACTGTAGTCTCTGGGTTTAAAGCTGCTTTCGTTCTATCGCGCGATTCAGCCTAGGAGTTGTTTTTACCTCGTATTTAGGAGCTGCATTCGCGCATTCAAAAATAAGGCCAATAGAGACTTATTTTGCATGACGATGCACATGCCTGTATACGGTATTGAATTTTTAGAGCATTTCTATTCGCATATGAGATGCATGATGCTAATAACAGACACCTGCATGTTTCCACCCATTCTATTTCCTGCTTCAACTGTGCAAATTAGTTTGGGGTCTCAGAATAAAATGCTTAAATAAACATAGTAAGCATTAAAGTCTCAAATGCATCGGAGAGGAAAGGGGAAATGCGAACCTCGGCACTGCTGGAGATTGTTCAGATGCCTCTTGACAACATACTCATCTTTGTTTTAATATTGCTACTACGGAAAAGTTTGTTTTTTTCTTCCTGAAAAATTAACATCTAAGATAAACGAATAGTAATAAAAATGATCAAAAAGTTCCTCTCTTAAAAGAGGGCATTTTATGTAAACTAGAAGTAATTATCTGCTCATATTTATTCATTCGGGGGACAGTTTCCTTCCTTGTTTTTTTTTCTTTTTTTGAGACAGCGTTTTGCTCTGTCTCCCAGGCTGGAGTGCAGTGGCGCGATGATGGCTCACTGCAGTTTTGATCTCCTGGGCTCAAGCCGTCCTCCCACCTCATATTTTGTTTATGAAAACGTGGGTGAGGGCCCCGGGGGCGGCGGCTTACCCCTGTAATCTCAGCACTTTGGGAGGCCGAGGCGGACAGATGGTCTGAAGTCAGCAGTTTGAGACCAGCTTGGCCAACATGGTGAAACCCCGTCTCTACTAAAAATACAAAAATTAGCCGGCCGTGATGGCGCACGTCTGTAGTCCCAGCTACTTGGAAGGCTGAGGCAGGTGAATCGCTTGAACCCGGGAGGCGGAGGTTGCAGTGAGCCGAGATCGCACCACTGCACTCCAGCCTGGGCGTCAGGAGCAAGACTTCGTCTCAAACAAAAACAAAAACAAAAACAAACAAACAAAAAAAAAACGTGGGAGAGGAAATTAGATATTTATCTCAAGAAAAGTTTAGGCATTTAAAACAGCGTTTAGTAGGAGGAATTATTAATTAAGTCATGCCTTTTAAGCAGTCTATATTGATCAAAACACAACTATAATAGGAGCTGGCGGTTAACTCTAATGTAGGTATCCTTTTTCATATAATTTCATTTTTAATTTTCTTATCTTATTTTTAGACAAAGTCTCGCTCTGTCGCCAAGGCTGGAGTGCAGTAGCATAATCATAGCTCACTGCAGCCTCAACCTCCTGGGCCCAAGGGATGCTCCTGCCTTGGCCTCCTAAAGTGTTGAGATTACAGGTGTGAGCCACTGCTCCTGTCCAATATTTAATTTAAAATCCAACAATTAAAAAAAAATCTAACAATTCAACCAGAGTAAAATAATGACGTTTTGTAGAAGCCTCTTCTCTTCAAAATGCCTTTTGTGTGTTCTTGCAATAGACCTGCACTCTTATCTGAGTCCTATCCCCACAATACTGTAATTGTGTGTGTGTTTGGCCTGGGCGTGGGAGTAGGGACTGAGTCTTGAATCTTTTTATTTCAAGGCCTACCAAAGTTCCTAGCATATAGTAGGCACTCAATGAATGGAACTGAACTGATGTCTAAAAATTAATTTCCAAGTTTCTTCGCATTCATCCATTAGCAAGTACCTAAATATGCTCACGGCACTGTGGGGATGGGCAGAGATTTAACTCAATAAGAATAATATGGGCCGGGCGCGGCGGCTCACGCCTGTAATCCCAACACTTTGGGAGGCCAAGGCAGGCGGATCACCTGAGTTCGGGAGTTCGAGAGCAGCCTGACCAACATGGAGAAACTCCATCTCTACTAAAAATACAAAGTTAGCCGGGCGTGGTGGTGCATGCCTGTAATCCCAGCTACTCGGGAGGCTGAGGCAGGAGAATCGCTTGAACCCGGGAGGCGGAGGTTGCGGTGAGCCGAGATCGTGCACTCCATCATAGGCGAAGAGCGAAACTCCGTCTCAAAAAAAAAAAAAAAAACACCAAAACCCCAGAATAATACACATATAACAACGCAACAACGCAAAGAAGCTATAGACTTGGGATCTTCCTGGAAAGCAGAGATTAACGGAAACTATGCAAGGTGACCCGGACACCCGGGCTCCACCCTCTGCCCCAGTCCCCCACATCGACAGGCTCTGTTCCGGCTACCTTAGTCTGGGCGGAAGGGCGAGAGCGAGGGCGCCTGGGAGAAACCTCGCCCTGCGGCGGTTGATTAGTCAGGCCTCAGAAAGATGGCGTCTTCGGAGCAGGCAGAGCAGCCGAGCCAGGTAAGGGGAGTGGGACTGCTCCGCTGTGCAGCGGAGACCCCGGCTGGAGGGGGCGCTGAGCATACGGCTGGGAGCCGGGTAGGGACCCCGAGTCTCCGAGGCTGGGGACCCCGACCTCTTGCCCCCTCCCGAGCCCCGCCCCTCCCCAGGTCCTCCCTGCCCGGCCCCTCCCCCGGTGACCCCTCTTTGACCACATTCCGGAGCCCGGGCTCTGGTGCTTGGCCTTGCCCCCGGGTCCCAACTTCCTGCCTGCCAGCACCTCTGGTCCCACTTGAGCTTGGCGGGGAGGGTGGCGGGACCTTTGGGAAGTCCTCAGCCTTGAGCTGCGAGGGCTTGAGAAGGAGAGGATAGATCGTTCCTGGCTGTCCCCTCCGGGGAGGGGCCTGATTCCATCAGGGTTCCCACTCCCTCACGGCCTCAGCCTCCTGGAGTGGCTGCCAGCCTTTTCATCTGTAGTCACCTTTGCGCTTTTCTCGTCAAGTTGGAGAGTCAGAAATAATATAGTCGAGCCCTCGCAGCGCGTTGATAGGAAAGGGACGCACTGTGAATAACAGACGCCACCAAGCTTTTGCCTGAGGACCCATCCTCGCTTCCCTGGGTTTGGTTTTGTTGGCCGAGAGCTCCGCTCTAGCTTTTCACCTGCAGATTCAGACAAATCCCACTCCAATAAGGGGACAATAGGGACCAGTGTTGACGCCTGTGCCTCTGCGGTAGGGAGGCAGTGGATGATAAGGCCTCCGAAGGGGTTTATAGTCCAAAGGTGGGGTGGGGTGGGATGGGGTGAGGAGAAAAAGGCTAAGAGAGATCTTGCATTTAACTGCGTATGTGCTGTCATGTTGAGGACAAATTACATCTATTATCTCGTTTAGTGTTCACTACAATGTTTATGAAGTGCAGGCTGTTAACCTCCATTTCACAGAAATGAATACTAAGGGTTTGTGACATGCCCCAAATTGTGTGCCCTGTTGAGCCTGTATTGTACCTGTGTGACTCCACTAGTCTTCCATATATTTTTGAGTTTAGTTAGGATTAGAATGAGGAAGAGGAAAATAGTTTCAACTTGGGGCCTCATTCCTCCTCTCCCACCTCCTTGAAACACGTCTAAGAGTTTTCAGCAACTTACTAGTATTTCACTTCCTTTAGAGGTAGAAGACCACCGCTTAGTGTTTCTTACTGTCTTATTCTGCGTATCTGTTACAGGAATTGCACTTAAAGGAGTTGGTGTGTTCCCCCATACCAGCTTCTATTAGCAGTGTGAATGATTCAGGAAGAAGATGTCTTGATTGTAAAACATGGGAAATAACAAGGACTGATTGTGGCCTTCTCACTGTCAGGTGTTCTGGAGTTTGGCAAGTGTCTTGCGAGGAGGGCCTCTCCTTTCTTGCCTTACCACATTTAGTTTGTGAAATACTGAGGCATCTTGGGGTCTGGATTTCTCTTGAATTGTTTTGTGTTAGGAATGCCCGCAGGCTGGGATTGAACGGTGTCCTCAGTTCCTGATTCTTTTTTCTTTTTTGAGACAGAGTTTCTCTCTGTCACCCATGCTGGAGTGCATTGGCACAATTTCGGCTCACTGCAACCTCTGCCTCCCGGGTTCGAGCTATTCTCCTGCCTCAGCCTCCCAAGTAGCTGGGACTACAGGTGCCTGCCACCACACCTGACTAATTTTTGTATTTTTAGTGGAGATGGGTTTCACCATGTTGGCCAGGCTGGTCTTGAACTCCTGACTTCAAGTGATCTGCCCGCCTCAGCCTCCCAAAGTGCTGAGATTGTATGCGTGAGCCACCATGCCTGGCTCTGTTCCTGATTCTTACAGGACATTTAATTTGCCCGTGCTGTAAACAGTACTAAAAATCTTGCCACTTGGAGCCATTGTCATGCCCAAGGATTCTTTTGGTTTTGCAAGTTTGCCTTCTCTGTATATGTATTTAATAGAAAAGGATCTAAGGTCCTTTAAGGGGGCATGGCCATCACTTACTTGATTTTCAGCTCTGCTTCTTCTTTGCCCTGCTTTCCAAAGCTGGTAGAGGTAGGATTGCAACAGAACATGCCAGCAGCCTGGCAGAAAAACTTGAACTTTTTTTTTTTTTTTTGAGACGCAGTCTCGGTCTGTCGCCCAGGCTAGAGTGCAGTGGCGCGATCTTGGCTCACTGCAACCTCTGTCTCCTGGGTTCATGCCATTCTCCTGCCTCAGCCTTCCGAGTAGCTGGGACTACAGGTGCCCGCCAGCATGCCTGGCTAATTTTTTATATTTTTAGTAGAGATGGGGTTTCACCGTGTTAGCCAGGATGGTCTCGATCTCCTGACTTCGTGATCCGCCCGCCTTGGCCTCCCAAAGTGCTGGGATTACAGGTGTGAGCCACCGTGCCCAGCCAAAGCTTGAACTTTTCTTACCAGATTCTATCGCTATCTAACAAGTAGCAAATGCACACTTTTTGAATGAAGCAACGCTCTTCAGCAACTGTTTGTTTCATTTTCAAGTCTTGATCAATCCAGTTTCCCATTTCTCCGATTAAAGCAGTATAGGATTGAAAGGACTGTTTAGCTAATTCCCCCACACCTGGTTTGTTGTGTAGGGTTAGAACCGTGGGGCTGAGCCAGTATTCTGTCTCTCACAGAAAGTTTGTTCGTTAGCCTTGTCCTATCAGTCTCTGGTTTCTAGTGATTAAAGGTGAATAACCTTCTCTTCCCTTGAGAGGCAGTGTAGAATAGTGGTTACAAGTACAGGCTCTAAAGCCAGACCCTCTGGCTTGGAATCCTAACTCCACTAACTTACCAGCAATGT